CCCTGGAAACTGGATGGGCAGTGGTGTCCTGTCCAGTGGGGAGCCATCCCGAGGGTGTGGGGAGCTGTCCCGAGGGCGTGGTGCCCTGTCCCGGGGCATGGTGCCCGTCCTGTGTGGTGCAGTCCCGGGAGCGTGGTGTCTTGTCCTGTGTGGTGCTGTCCTGAAGGCATGCTGACCAGATGGCCTCTTGTCTCTTTCTGCCCACGCCCTCCTTCTCAGTCCCATTCCTCCCCCTCTGTGAACACCTGTGGCTTTCCCATCCGGGTGGGAGGTCAGAGGTGGGCTACATAGTAATCATCTTGGGCTTTTGGAGGGGGCGGGGAAGGGCTTCTACCATTGTAATTCAAAAGCAACTCCAAACCAGTCATAACCAACAAGCAGTGTTGTGTCCCGGTTAAACCTTATTCCCAACACTAAACATTGGAATTTTAGATAATGTTCGCTTGTGGGAAGTAAGGTCCTCGTGCTGGAGGTATCTGGCCGCCCAGGCTGCAGTGAATCACCCCTCAACCAAGGCTGGACCCCTCTGGGGGGTCGAATGCCTCAGCAGCTCCTTCAGAAAGAGGGCCCCCTCCTGGTGCGATTTACAGCCTCTGTGAGCCCACTGGAGGGTCAGACTCGCCCACTGGAGGGTCGGCCAGGAGTCCTTCCGAGTGGACAGCAGGGGTCCAATGAGTGTTACAAAATATCCTTTTGAGGGTTTTCAGACTTTGAAAAATGTGCAACTTTCATTCTTTGTTCTGGGAATGAGTTGAGTGGTGGAGCTTGTCAACCTCTCTATCAGAGCAAGATTCCTGGGGTGATGCAAACCATTAACATGGCGACTGAAAGGTCGGTGCTTCAAGTCCACACTTCGGAAGATCGACATCAGCGTCCAGTCACCTGCTGAGCACCCTGGGACGCAGTTCTGCTCCGTACACTGTGTGTGTGTGTGGGGAGGGGCACCCTCGCCCAGGCAGAGCCCACAAAGCTCTGCGTCACCAAACTGAAAATGCCCAAAGTTACTCCACGGTCAGCTTCCTTGTGGCTGTAAATCACCACGAAGAGAGAGCGCTGGCTGGCCACTCCCCCTTCAGGAATGGCCAGCTTCTAGGTCTCAGCATCACTGTCCCCTCCTAACAGATCCCTAGCCCCTGTCCAAGGCCAGTCCACCCCACAGTCCTGCTTGTCCCTCTGCACCTCTGCCTACAGGTGGCCGCTGGTGTGGCTGTCCACGTCCTGGCTCAGCAGTTCTGCCTACAGGTGGCCTCTGGCGTGGCTGTCCACGTCCTGGCTCAGCAGTTCTGCCTACAGATGGCCTCTGGCGTGGCCGTCCACGTCCTGGGTCAGTTGTGCCAGGGCTACAGAGGTACACTTCACTTTCCTGCACTCTGCTGTCGTGTGTGGCGTGGATCCTGCATTTTTATAGACGGGAGGTTTGTAGCAGCCTTGCCTGGAGCGTGTCTCGGTGGCATTTCCCCAGCAGTGTGGACTCCCTTCATGGCTGTGTCCTGGTCGGCTCATTCTCTCCAGGTTTCCTCGTGTGGTGAAGGCTGATGGCACAACAGCCTCGTGTCCACGCCACATTACAGGCGCTGGAACCATGTTACAGGCGCTGGAACCAGACAGGCCTTGTCACGAGTTGTGGGTCTGGAGCCAAAGCGCTACCATCCTGAGCATGTGGGCCTCCACCCCTCCCCCCCTGCCCCCAGGGTTAACTGTGGGCACCTTCTCAGTATCATGATAAACTCATCTTTCTTAGTTTTCACTTCGTTTTGAAGGTTCCCTGTGAGTGTGCAGTTCTGTTTTCACATGCACATGCACACACGGAGCACACACCCGTGCACTGCTGCGGCGCGGAGGGGCTGGCACCACTGGCCGTTGTGGCGTGGGAACGCCGGGGAGGCGTCACACCCAGCCAGGGTGTCTCCCTCCAATGGAGAGACGTTTTTCTAGTCAAAGCTCAGAGAGGACTGTCTGAGTGGAGAATTCTTTTTTCAGGTTGTCGCAGACAGAACCTGGTCTCCAAGTGGCCGGTTCATTCTCTCAACCAGTCTTTTTCTAAGTATCCTGTGACATTTCATGATCGCCTGCCCTTGAAGTATGTGTAAGCAGGGACCCTTCTCAGAAAATGAATGCTTGGACGGTGAGATGTTTGACAGCTTCAATCTTTGCGGCCTCTCTCATGGTGTTGCCTGTCGGTCCACTTGTGAGGAATTGTTTTATCTTGACACGCAGTTGTTACAGAAGATGCCCTTACTGCAGGAATGTTAAATGGTCTTAACTCGTTACATACAAATAGGTAACAACTAGTCTTCAAAAGTCGCGTGCCTTCTAAATTACAGAATCGTAGGGAAAATGGGTTCAGCTCCTAAAAAAGCAGCTTCTCTTCCTGTTGTAGAGCGTCTCAGCTCATAATAAACAAAAGCCAACAGAGCTAGAATCCACTGCAGCGATATGCTAGTGAAAGGCATCCTCATGGCACGGGGGCCACATGCATGGCTGATAACCGAAAGATTGGCAGTTCAAACCCGCCAGGGCCCTGATAGAAAGATGGGGAAGTGACTGCTCCATTTGGAACCCCAATAGAGGGTCGTCCTGAGTCAGAATCGACTCCAGTGCAGCAGGTTTGGATTTTGGAAAGACATGAGGAGTCCTGGTGGCACAGTGGGTAAAGGTCCCAAGGTCGCTGGTCAGAACCCAACAGTGTGGGCTCTGTGGGCGGAGGTGTGCAGCCAGCCACCATGCAGTGACCTCCTGGAATGACAGGCCCCCTGCTCTGTCCTGCAGGCCTGCCCTGGCTGCGATCCGAACCAGCAGAAATCCTTGCCTGGCTAATCCAGAAGGGCTGGGGTCTGTTGATGTTGCTGTTACGACTCTGTGAACAACAGCTCTTACCCTGTACTACCCTGTTCCTTCCCCATCCTTTCGGACCCTCTTGACCCACTGCTGCAGGCACAGTCTCTCGGGGGGTCTTCCTCTCTTTCACTGAGCCCCCACCTTTCCACCCATGATGTCCCTCTCCAAGGAATAGCGGGGAAGGGTTAGTCACCTGGTTTATAAATTCTTTCAAAAAACATCAATGATCTAAGTGCTTGACTAACTTTCATCATTGGTAGTTCACTAACTCCTGACCCCACAAGTGTACCCTGTGATTGCTGTTGTGTACCTTCAAGTCAGAAGGGACTCGCGGCTGACCCACCAGCAGGTTTTCAGAGGCAGTAAATCACATGGAAGTTGATTGCCCATCGTTCTCCCTTAGAGAAGCTCGTGGATTTGAACCATATACCTTTGGGTTAGCCCCACAGCTCCTTACCACTAAGCTGCCGGAGCTCCCAAACAGGACTTTACCATCTTCATTACCACAGTACAGTCCTCACAGGTGGCCCTCTGTTACTGTGGAAGCAGCCTTGGTGGCTCAGTAGATAAGACCTTGCCTAAAGGTGGGCAGTTGCAAGCCACCAGTGCCCTGCAGGAGGCCATGCCCTGCAGGAGGACTCACAGTGCAGGAGGCCACGCCCTGCAGGAGGACTCACCCTACAAGAGGACTCACCCTGCAGGAGGAGGAACCCTGCAGGAGGACTCACCCTACAAGAGGACTCACCCTGCAGGAGGAGGAACCCTGCAGGAGGACTCAACCTGCAGGAGGATTCGCCCTGCAAGAGGAGGAACCCTGCAGGAGGAGGAGCCCTGCACAGTGTGGAGCCCCATGGGGCAGATTCCCACAGCAGGATGGGGCCTGGGGGGATGGCTGTGGCTGGTTTGGTTGTTGAGGGCCCACAGGCCAGTACCCACTGCCAGTACTCCATATGACAAGGGTTTTTCTGGCTGGCCTTTTTAGCCTGGTGGTGGCAAGGCGACAGCTGGGGGGGTGAGGACCTCTCCCGTGGACATTTACAGCCTCTGACGCTGCTGAGGGCTCACTACAGTGGGATCCAGTTTCTGGAATAGAAACAAGCCTCTCTTCCGCGATGTCCCCAGCTTAGTTCAAACTACCAACCCAAGCAGTCTTAACCAATCCTTGGTTAACCCACTAAGGCTCCTGTCTAGCCCCCTGGCGACACCAAGAGAAAATGGCAAGCGGAGGCCGTGGGAACCAGGATACCTGATGGCATGAATTCCTGAAGGAGGCGGCCCTGGCCACCCCCCACCCATGCTGAGGCCTCTCATCTGTTTGGGAATGAACGAGATAGATGGTCAGGACGGAGCTGCGCACGGCAGGAACCCACTGTGGGTCCTGCTCGGAAGCGCACGGACTGGCTGCCCCGTGTCTCTGGAAGGAACTGGCGACCCTGGGTGGACAGCCCCTGTGCAGATGCCCCGGGGTCCCTGAGCCGGCGAAGGAGGCCGGCGGCCGTGCGTGGTTCCCGGCCTCCTGCGGCAGCGTGCTGGCTCTGCGAACGTCACCGCGCCAGCCCGGGGCGCAGCGCCCAGCGCCGAGCATCGCGTGCGTCCCCGCCGGACCCGGGCGCGGAGCTGAGCGCGGGCAGCCGTGCGCGAGGGCGAGCACCAGGCTGGCTGATCCCCCTCCCGAGCGAGGCAGGCCGGGGGGGGGTGCACGGCGGGGGTGCGCGGAGGGGTACGTGCCACTCACCCCCGCCCCCGCGCGCGCCGAGCCGGGCAGGGCGCTGCGTGCTCGCGGCCAGGGCGGCCGGGACCCTCCCAGAGAAGCGGGCGGCGCAGGTGGGGCTGTCGGGAGTCCGCACCTGGCGGCAGGAGCAGCGGGGTGCCTGACTGCAGCGCCCCTGCTTAGGGCAGCGGGGGCATGAAGGCCGCCACCACCGGGAGACGGGCACCCAGCAAATAAGAAGCCGTCTGGACCGAGGAGGAGGAGCAGCCGGCATCCCTGCGCTGCGCGGCCCTTTAAATGAAGGCTCCCCGCCGGCGCCAGCCGCGATCTGCAGCCCTCGCCACGCCACTGACCTCGCTTACATCACCAGCCGGTGACAGCCACCTCGCCGCGCGCCCTACCTGCTCCTCCCAGGCCCGCGCCGCCCGCAGCCTCTTTGTATGCTGCAGACATGGCCAGCCAGCAGGACTCGGGCTTCTTTGAAATCAGCATCAAATATTTACTGAAATCCTGGAGCAGCAGTGAGTATAGAAGACAGCCTTTGTCTGTGCTGGTGTTGCGTAAGGCTGGAGAGGGAAGGAGCTGGCGCGGTGCGGGCTCCACGAACAGGGGAAGTTTCTTCCTTCCATCTGCCGGAGAAGGGGAATCAGGGGCGCAGCCCCGGGGTGGTGAAAAGGCCTTGGTGGAGCAGTGGTTGGGTCCCGGCCTTTCAGATCTGGGCACTGTGCTGCCTTCCACTGCCTGCTGTTTTTTCCCTGTGTTCAGGATTTATCTAAATATTTTGGGAAGTGCCATTTCATGGAAGGGGTGTGGCAGGCTTTGGAGTATTTAGTAATTGTTTCCTTAGGGCATTGTCTGAGGGGAGAGAGCTTAGTAAGGCAGCCCTGACATGCAGCCTTTACCGTGTATCCAAGTGTCTGCGGGTGGATTCACTGGAGCTCTCCTGTGCCCTTGTACGTGTTTAGATGCTGTTTAATGGTTGGATTTTTTACAAATCCTCCTGGTATTCTGGGGGCAAACAGTAGACTTTTCTCAAGTGTAAACATGTCAAGTCCTGACCAGTGTCTTGGCCTAGGACATAAAAATGGTACGGCTTCTGAAGTTCCAGTTCTGACCCACTTAGACATGTTAGCAATGGGACACTTCCAGAAGGACCACCACCTCCCCGGGGTGGGGCTGGTGTTGAACCGAGGCCTCCAGCTGACATGGTACCTGGTATTATCCGAGCAGCTTGCCTTCCCTCCCCTGCCCACTTGCTCTGCATCCAAGGCAGGCAGTTCTGCTGGACCCTGATTTGCTGGAATTTTCTTTTTAAAGATTTGTAAGAGAATTCTGATGTGATATCGCTGTTAACTGGCCTGCCTGTGCCCCGAAGACCCACAGTTCAATCCCCTCCTGCTCAGAGTGGCCTGTGGGTTCTTATGTAAACAGATTCTGGCTGGAGCTGGCTGGGCTGGGATTGCTTGAGGGAAAGATGAGGTGCTCCACCCTGAAGGTGCTGCTGTCTCTAAAAGACAGCCAGAGGAACCTTTGTTCCGGGGTCTCTGGCCCCACTGTGTCCACCCAGGGGCCACTTCTTGCATGGCCAAGGCCATCTGGGAGCCACTGTCGTCCAAACAGCTCTTTCCTGCTCCGTGGCCGCAGGGTCCATGGAGCGCTCCAGCACACATTCGGGAGCCCCCATGGCCCTTTGTCTGTCCAGTCTTTGGTTAGTGAAGACTTTGACTTGCTGCCTCCTTTTGTTGACTAGTTATTATAACAACTGGTAAAAACAAAACAAACCAAAAAACCCTCAACCCACTGGCCGTGGTCCTGTCACCACGCTGCCACTGCTTTCTTCAGATGCCTCTGAATGAAGTGGGTACTGTCCCCGCCCTTCCTGCATCTCCCTCCTCACACAATCACTGGGACACACACCCACTGACTCTAGTTCTCCCTGGAGTGCGGTCTCCTTCTGAGCCCCCTCAGGGATGCAGGGTGAGGCCCCCATCCCAGGGCCCTGTCTTCAGGTCTTTATTTCCGAAGAGGAAGCTGAGTGGTTCTCCAGTGTTTATGTCAACCTTTCTAGAAAGAGGAAGAGGAAATGCAGGCTTTCACTTGGTCTTGCTTAAGCTTGTTGCAACACTGACATACCCACAACCCAGCAGAAGCTCCCTTCCTTAGAGGTCAAGACTTCAGAGGCTGAGAGGGGAGTGGGTGCCGGAGAACGAGCAGAACACAGGCACCTGGGCCTCAGCCTGGCTCCGGGGTGCCTTGGCCTGGCTCCAGAGTGCCAGTGGGCTGGGGGGGCTGAGCCTGCAGAAACGTGTCTACTGTCTGGAGGGAGGGGTGATAGTGCGGACCACACACCTGGCCAGTCAGCCCATAGGGTGCTGCCTCGCTTGCTTCTACGGTACAGTAATGAGGAAGGAATAAAGCACATTTTATGACTTTGCAGGGCACTCTGGTGGCCTAGTGGGTAAGCTGTTGTGCTGCCACCCCAAAGTCAGATGGTTCGTATTCACCAGCCGCCCCTCAAGAAAACTATGAACAGTCTCCCCCACTCAGTTTATAGCCTCTGAAAACCCGTGACTGGTTGGCAGTTAGTGAGTGAGTTACAACTTTGCAGAATAGGAGAAGTCGTCCAGGTGGTGAAATGCTTAGCACTTGAGCCTAACTTGAAGGTTGGAAGTTCAAACCCACACAGTAGCTCATGGAAGGAAAGCCTGATGGTCTCTGTCAGAAACAATGCTCTGAAGCCAATCTCAACTCGTGGTGACCCTCTAGACTGGATTCCAGGGCTGTAATGTTCACTGCCTCACGTTTCTCCCCAGAAAGGGCCTGGGGGCATTGAACCACCCACCTTGCATTTAGCAGCCACGCATTTTAACCCCTGGGCCAGCAGAGCCTCCCCCCTGAAAGAGTCCAGCCTCAAACACCCTGTGGAGCGGTTCTGCTTCAGCAATGAAAGGTAGACTGGGTTTGACAGCCCCTGTGGCTCAATGGTTAAGCACTTGACTGTTACTCTGAAGGTTAGCTGTTCAAAACCACTGGTGGCTTCAAAGGAGAAAGGTTTGGTGACATGCTGCTGAAATGACGGCATCATGGAACGCCCTGTGAAGCCCTCCTTTTCCATCATGTGGGCTCACCACATGACCCGTGAGCTGGAATGGACGTGGTGACATCAGCAACGGTCATAATGAAAGATGATTCCAGACGCGTTTTCATTTTAAGATGTCCTCTTTAAGAGGAAATGAGATGTTGGTTGTCGAGGAGGTGTTATCATGTCAACTAGACTCACAGTGACCCTACGCTCGATCCACAGATCCCACCCTGGCCTGTCCCGCGTCAGCCCAGTGCCGTCCCAGTGACAGTGCATCTCTTTCTCTGACTGTCCGTCCATCTTTCCCACCATCATGTCTTATTATTGTTATGCACCTGGTTAGAACCAACCCAGAGCAGACCCTCCAGTGGGTTTTCAGAGGCAGTAAATCACACAGGAGGAGCTTGCCGGTCCCACTCCCACACGGCAACTGGTGGATTTGAACAGTGTGCCTTTGAGTTAGCAGTGCGTCTCTTTACCACTGGACCACCATGATATACTGGGGAAAGTTGACGTATGTATTTCTTTCCTGAGGGACTAGCAGGGCAATCAGGTCTGTCTTGGCCTTCAGAGGCGCGCTGGCTTTCCACCTTCCGTTCCTTGTTCTGGTCAGCATCCTCCGCTTCCTTGCAGCCCCCTCCCTCGGCCAGCCTGCCCTCTCACTTCAGTGAGGTCTGGGATCAACATGGTCTTGGTGGCCTAAGGTTAAAGAATTCACTTGCTCACCGAAAGGTTGTCTGTTTGAAGTCACCAGCCTGGGCTGGGCAAGGACGAGGCAGGCTGCTCCTGTCGGGACTGCAGCCCTGATGCCCACTGGGGCCGTTCTGCAATGAGTCAGAGTGGCCTCACAGCAGTGGGCTTGGTGGTGGTTGTTGGGCAGGACACTGACAACATAGTGGTGAAGGACCCAGGCTGCTCGCTGAGGGCCAACGGTTCAAGTTCACCAGCTGCTCCGTGGGAGGCCCTCTGCTTCTGCTTGCTGTTTCGGTTTCTGACGTTTGGAAGTAAAATGTCCTGTGTGGACAGAGTGGTGACTCGTGTGTTGCCGTGTGCTGGTCCTTCACCCCCTGGAAGGGTCACCCGCAGTAGGCAGACATCAGCACAGTGTCCAGGCTACGGCTGGGCAGCATCACTGGCCATCACGTCTAAAAGACTTTGCAAAGCTCATTGACACCCCTCCTCCTGGATCTTCCGGGATGTAATCTGTGCAGGAGGAGACTGGTCATCCTTCTTGCTGACTGGCTGGTGGACGTGAACTTCCACATTGCAGGGCCTTCCTTCAAAGCCATCTGACACAAGGGGCCTTTAGAAAGCCCTGGAGTGTGGAAGCTGTTGAACGAGGCCGGGCCTGGACTTTTCTCTTTGCCATGGTCTTGTGAGGGTGCTACAATCCACACTTCGTAAGTGAGGCATGGATATGAGAGGATGTCTCAAAACCAGGACACCAGTAAGTGGCAGCTTCGACACCTGGCCCCTCCCCCCAGTGGGCAGCCCATTGTTAATTTGTTTAATCGCCCCTAAGATCAAAGGATTAAAGGACACTCTGGGCCTTCCGTGCTTAATGTAAGTACTAAAGGACTCATGGGAGTGGTGCGAGCGGTTAAGCACTAGACTGAGAGCCTTTGAGAAGCGGACAGTTCTCACCTGTCCAGCAGCCACACACGAGAAAGCCTGGTGGTCGCTCTGTAAAGGTGGTGATGGTGGTGGTTAGGGGCCTCTGAGCTGGTTCTGACTCAGGATGAGCCCATGATGTCCTGTGCAGAGCTGGACCAGCCACACAGGCGCTCTGTGCCGCCACCGAGGCAGGCGGTCTCAGTGAAGGTCTCCTCACTAAGTGTGACATCCCCTTCCAGGGACTGGCCCCTCCTACTAATGTGTCCGCAGTGTGTGAGGCACCGTCGCACAGTCTTCCGTTCTGAGGAGCCCTCTGGCTGCACCCCATAGCCAGAGTGCCTTGTTTCTCTGTTCCATGGTCTTTCTGCAATCCAGCACCACAGTTCAAAGACACCACTTCTTCAGGCTTCCTTACTCGATGGCCAGCTTTCACACGCATTGAGGTGACCGAGAAATACCTTACATGGGTGTATTTCACTTCGATCAGACACGATCAGTAACACCCACAGCCCAGAGACCCCACAGGGATCTCCTGTGTCCCACAGGGTCACCGTGAATCATGATCAACTGGACAGTGCCCAGACAGACCAGTGTGTAGAGCCAAACAGCTGCCCAAGAGGCAGTGTCACGTCGTGATGACCCATGTGTGTCCTTTCCGTAATTTTGGTCTTTCGGATCATCAGGCCTTTCTTCCTGGTGTCCCCCGGTGGACGGGAACCACCAGCCTTTTGGTTAGTGGGAAGAATAGCGTTGTGATGACCATCATTAAACATTTTGGTTATAAAACAAATGTGTGAATAGTTGGATAAAAGGCCAATCCACTTT